AAGAGATTAATAACTCAGTTAGTCTAGGCTACTCTGAAATAAGTAAAAACTTGCCAACTTTCCTTACTCTAGAGGTAAGGCCTAGTGGCTTCATAGTATAATAATTCAAGAAACAAAAACGCTTCATGGGTCATAAGCTAGTGTAACCTTTCTGCTTGTTCTAAACCCTGATAAATGGGAGCATTTTGTCAGGAAGGGTATCCAATATAAAAACTACGCAAAATCAAGCGTGTGACCCATCTGTGCTGGATGCTGTGGCTGTACCTTGGGAAAAAAGGCAGCAGCTACAAGTATCTAAGTCAGAGGTGGGGCCTGATGGTTTTATTTAAGTTTCTGTCAGTCATCATGGTTATACCCAATTTTAAAATCACAGTAATCAGACTTCGACAACAGTCAAAATATATGGAATTCCATAAAGTGATTATAAACCAAGTTTTGTTACATAGTGAAAAGGGAAGAATGAGTCCCAGTCTGGGGATTGTTGAGCCTTGATCCTTGTGGGAGATGGTCACTACTCTCCACTGGACAGTTCTACCCCTTCCTGGGATGCAGGTACTTGTTGGTTCTGGGGCATGTGGCTATTTTGACTTCTGCTCAGCAATCTATACTCTATAGAGCAAAAAGCTAAATAACTATGTAATGCCTCCAGTAATGCCACCCATTACCCCACCTTTGCAAATACAATACTTACTAAATAATAAACAATAAACAATAAAATACTATTTTGATAAATGAATTTTAAATTGTGTCTTTAGACATTTTGTTACTAGCACGTCTGTCTCAAAAACACATAATTTGTTTCCATTTCTTTAGATTAATCAGCATCTATCCTTCCATCCATCCATCTGTCTTCTTTCGCTTTCTGGGCCTCGCAGGCAGCAGCATTCCCAGTCCGGACATCAGGCATTTTCCAGGCCAGCCGAGAGATATAATCTCTCCAGTGTGTCCTGGGTCTGCCCTGGGGCCTCCTCCCGTGGGACATGCCTGGAACACCTCACCCAGGAGGCGCCCAGCGGGCATCCTTGTCAAGATGCCAGAACCACCTCAGCTGCTTTTCGATGTGCGAGGCACTTCATAAAATTGTATTAGTAATAGTAATATTAAGATTAATATGAATAATATTTATTTTAATAATATTTAATTAATTGATCACCTCCTTATCCCGACAAACTGCTCTGAGTTTTCATTGTACTGAGGAGAAGATCACCCAGTAGAGTTCACCTATTTGAAAACACAGCCTGACTACTTAGTTTATTTCAGAAGCACTTTAGAACTGAACCTTACTGGTTACTGACATGGTGGTTTTATAGTCCTGTCGGACCAGAATCCTGTGATTCCGGTCGGACAGGGGGTTCACCCACCGTGCGTGTGCAGTGATTCCTCCAGGATCCTGACTGAATGTTACTGGAAGCGGATTACGTAAGTGACTGCCGAATATTCCAGACAAGTGGTCTGGAATAGAGCAGAGAGGGGACACTTTTCATAGGTTTTAACACTCAGTTTCACCTCTGTATTTGTTATAATTTTGCTCTTCTCTGTGGCTTGCTGACTTACCAGCAAAACCACAGACAAGAGTAGCCCACAGACCAGTTGTACCATATGCTCTGTAGACTGGCTCCATCTGACAACAGAACTTACTGCAGGACAACAAATGTCGCGCCTCTGCTTGGTCATAAAGCCACGTTCATCTTACTAAAGCTACCTAACAGATTACAAATGAGAGGAAAGTTGAACCTCATGAATGAACTAACATTTATTTCCTCCATTATCATTTAAATATGGTGGGAACTTTGTTTATGGCATTTGCAGTTATTTATGAAGATCTTTGAAATTCATATTTTATTATAAATGAAGAAGCTGCCGTACATTTAAGTGAAGCTACTCTGTGGCTCCACTTGCTCGGTGTACTGTTCTCTCTTAAACTCTTCTTAAAGACTTCGACTCTGGTCCTACATACATTTAATAATTTGCAAACCTGAGATGGGTCATGTTTGCATCTGGAAATAAATATTTGTCTGTTCTGTATTGTCATTTTTGTGTCATTTTTCTGATGTGAAGATGGCTGAGGCTTTTTTTGAGTCTTGAGTTATTTTAATTGTATTTATAAATGCTTCATAAGGCAAAAAATTCTTATCACTTTGGTGAGGTCACATAAAATACTAACAAGTGAATTAAACATGAATTACAATATGAAATTTGTATTTATAAACCCTCTATTAACACACTTACAAACATATATATATAAAAAATTACCCTCTCACTCCTGTGGGCGGTCTTGCCTTTGCTCCTCTACCAGAGGCCTGGGAGCTTGAGTGTCCTGCGCAGTATCTTTGCTGTTCCTAGGACTGCGCTCTTCTAGACAGAGATTCGGAGTTGTTCGTAGGATCTACTGGAGCCACTTGCCTAGCTTGGGGATCACTGCACCAAGTGCTCAGATTACCACGGGGACCACTGTTACCTTTACCCTCCACATCTTCTGGAGTTCTCCTCCCAACTCTTGGTACTTCTCATGTTCCTTCTCCCTGATGTTGCTGTCATTCGGTGTAGCTACAGCTATCACTACGGCCGTCTTCCTCTGCTTGTCCACCACTCCTGTTCCAGTTGGTTAGCCATCAACAGCTTGTCTGTCTTTAATTGGAAGTCCCACAGAATCCTAGCTTGGGCATGTCCCATTTTGACCTCTGGACTTCCAGACTGTATTGTTCCTGCATATTATGCCAGCCATTTTATTATGGCTTGGTTTTTGTTAAACAACCAAAGCCTGGTCTGTGCAAAAGACCAGGGCTTTCATTACAAGAAATAAATAATTTCCAGCCTAGTTTCAGTTAGGATTTGGACTCGGCTGCTATTTGTCAATTATTCTGTTTATAACCTGTAAGGACAAAATTTCAAGTTACAGCTAAATGATAGAAGGTTTCAAGGTTAGTGGCCTTTAAATCTTAACACACCTAGGATTGAAGCCAAGGGTAATTGGGTATGAATGAAAATTACCAGTGGTGGTGGTTCTACACTGAAAACGATAAGATGCCCATTCTCTGTTTAGGATAAGTTGCTTCTTGTGTCTTCCTTTTAAATTGGGGAGGAGTGGAGCAGCACACATACAAATGGATTACTACAGTGTCAGGAGTGATGCTGAGAACAGAACTGTATATTCTGTGCTTTATGAATGTGTGGTTAAAAGTGTGTTGGTCAGTAAGTTGAGAAAATGGTATATCATTTCAAATACATTAATAACAAACAACAACAACAAAAAATTGACTTTGTGAATACAGAGTAAAAATATGTGAATAATCCTGGATTGTTTCTCATGAAATTTGCTACAAAAATGGCCAAATATTCTGTTTTTTGAAGACTATAAATCTCCATTGTTCAGCCTGCTCTTTAGCTCTACAGGTGGTAAAATGTCGTGTCCCCTGGCCAATATTCGATCTACAAATTTTCCCTGAAATGTACAGTGTGACACATTATAGCTATTTCAAGATCGAAGAACACAAATAGTTACCATGTTGGCAGTGTTAAAAACCAGAGTCCAACACAATAGAAGATGAAAGAGAGGTGATACGTTTTACAAAGCACAGAGGTAGATGTAACAGGAAATGTACTTTTGAATCTATTCTGTGTTAGCCAATCAGGTGCATTTTACTGACCTAAAACGTTCATTCCACCTCCTTCACTCATTGAAATACCAGTACGGTCCCCAACAAAAAGCAGTGCCAAGATGATCGTCTTTTGGGTTACATTGTTTTTTTTTCACCAAGGATGTAAGTGCATTTTTATTTTGTCTAAAAATGTTCTTAGTTGAGGATTTTCATGTCAAATAGACATATACAGCATAAAAGAGTTTTACACTGGAAAGTTACAACGTCAAACAAAATTTTATTTCTCTTATTTCAGATTCTCTGGTTCCAGTTGAAACTGTTCAGCTTGGTGAACCAGCAACCTTGACATGCGCTATTCCCAAAGAGCTCAGCGTTAGAGGAGTCAAATGGTACAAGCAAAGCGTCGGGGATACTCTTAAATTAATAGTTACTCTGATTCAGTCTAAAGCTGATTTTAGTCCTGGATTTTGAGCTCAAGATTTCGGATAAATAATGATGCAAATTTTAGCAGCCTGATCATTTTAGAGACAGTTCAAGAGGATGAGGCTCACTATCATTGTACAAACACAGAATGGATTGGAACTACATGGGGTGGGATGTATTTGTTAGTAAAAGGTAATAAGCCAACCTACTTTTACAAACTTTGAAAATTTTTCTATGCATGTTTGGAAAAATGTGATTTGTATTACACAGGAAAAGCTCAGAGGACATCAAACTTTGCAGTCAGTCAGTTACTGATAGAATCAAATCCAGTCCGACCAGGAGACACAATGACGCTCCAGTGTTCAGTCTTCTCTGACTCTGACAACAAGAAACGATGTCCAGGAGGTCTCAATATTCTCTGGGTCAGAGAGGGATCAGATAAATCTCTTCCAAACATCATCTACACTGACAAAACAGAAGTAATAAATGTGAGAAAAGATCTGACCATCAGAAGACATGTGTTTATCACTTCTCTAAGAACGTCAGCTCCTCTGATGCTGGGACTTACTACTGTGCTGTGGCCACATGTGGGGAGATATTATTTGGAAGTGGAACTACTGTGGTTATTCAAGGTAATGTTATCATTACTCTATTAATTAGAAAAAATGTCACAAATGGCACTTTGGCATTCATCTCATCTTTTCCTTTTCATTTTAATAGTGACTGCAGAAAAGCAGTGTGTGGTCACAGAAGCAGTAGAGTCTGTTTTTTGTCTCTGCTGTCGTGGTTATAAGTCTGATTGTTACTGCTGTCCTCATTTACACAATCAAGATAAACAACAGTGATCATCCAAAGGTAATTTAAGTTAATCATAATTCTTTTTTTAATAAAAGCATATAAATCTTGAGTTTTATCCATTGTTATCTGTATTTTCCACAATCAAGCTGCTGCCAGCAGAAAATCTTTAGTGATGAGAAAAAACAGCAGGTAAAGCAATTAAAGCTGAGAATATAATTAAGCTGGTATAAAAATATAACATGTTTCTTATTTAAGTTTCTTTTTAATGTTTCTAATATTTTTTATGCACTGCATTTTCCCAGAATGAGGACACATGGATGTTTTCTGCTGTTGTCTTTACCACGATAGAAGTTGACAGAAGTATAACAAAGAGTGCAAACGCAGTGACGAGGCAGCAGATCTATATGGCTGCCAAGAATCGTGGGCTGGATTAGGTCTATATATGATGCCTTGGTATGAAATAATCTTCTTTATGTTTGCTTAGAGCTAATTTTTCTTTTATAATGTGGCTTTGTGTGCATATTATTATCAGCATGTTTAAATGCACTTTGATTGATCGCAACTTAATAATTAAAATGTACATGTTTGTATGCATGTAAAGATCCGCCCTGAACAGCAGCGTTCCTGGTTTAGTCTGGAGTGTATGAAGTTCAGATAGTTAGGGTGCATACCAAATAAGCACATACCCATTAAAATAAAAACAAACAGACATCTGTGAAAGCAAGGGATTATCATTCTTGGTAATTATGTAGTAAATATGCAAATTAAATCTGTACCAACTGCATTTTTTAAATTTCATTTTTATGATGTATGATGATAAAATCTTGGAGAAATAAGTAAAGGGTGAATACGTATAAGAAAAGTACTGTAGCTGAAACTAAAGACTAACAGGAAGGTGCTGATGTATTCAAACAGGGAAACCACACATGAGAGAAGTTTACAGATTTCAAGCTAAGAAAAAAAGATGATTTTGATCAGTGCATAGTGTTGATTTGTGTCTCAGAAGAAAGAAATGTAGAACAATGAGGGTTAAAAGGAAGGTTATTGTATCATAGTACATCATTGTCTTTACCATTTTGCAGTCTAGTTGTAATGAATTGTCCTAAAATCCTATTCTCAATATTACTGTGTTTGTCAACATTATTAAATAAAACACCTTCTATCAAATCTTGTTATTGTTCAACTTCGCTTTGCAGCTTTGTAAACATTTTTCATCACTAAAATTCCTTTAGCATTTGAAAGTAAAAGATAGGAGTTAATGAGGTTTTATAATATTTTTTGTACAGTGATTTAAGATGTTAATCATTTGTTCCTTTGAAAAATACTGCTATCTGTCCATTATCTTTCTCTTATCCATATTAAGGGTACTGGGGGGCTGAAGCCTATCGCAGCTATCACAGAGCAAGAGGTGTGGTACACTCTGGAGAGGTCGCCACACTGACTCAGGGCTAACTAACTGCTGTATTCATTATTTGTGTACATTTCATGAGTAATGCTCTCCTTAATATTAAAATGGACAGATGAAGGACAGATCATTACATTTTCCTGCTCACTATAAGAGTCTCATCCAACAGCAGCGTACATACAATCTTGTGGTCATTTTCTTGTTTTCCTTTTTTTAAAAACTCATTGCATAGCAATCCCCGGTGATTACATCATGACCTGTAATGACTTACATTTCACAATCTTTACATTTGCATTTCTTACATTCAGGGACTGTCCTAGCATGTTTGGTACCCTGGGCGAACACTCCCTCTCCCTCTGTCAATTTTCCATCAGTAATTTTGCACTTCAGTATCACCCAACCCCACAACATGGACTAATAGACTAATAGACATATACCTTGTATAGGGTTTTTTTCTGGGATTTCACACAACCCAGGAAAAATAATTAATACAAAATGGGCTTGGAGTGACAATATTATGAATGAAATGTGCACTGCTTGGAAGCAGCCCGCCCCCTCCCCTTTCGACAGGTTGTGTGTGAGACTTCAGCACAGCAGCAGCAGCAAGCAGGCGCACCGAGGGCCCCTCACGCTCACTTTTTGCGTAGATGTGTGTGATAGAATTTAGAAAACACATGTGTGCAAATTATAAGTCTATATCATCATTTCTTAAGTTTTTGTGTTTGTTTTAGGGCAGTCAGTGTTAACGCATTAACGGCGTCATCACGATTAATGTGATTAAAAATTTTAACGGAATCAACCTATCCGGAGCGCAGAACGGACAAACTTCAGACAAACTGCCCGAAATGCGTTGAAAGAGAGATTTCAGGGATTTTACGACATTCTGCTCTCCAGATGGATTAATTGCTGCTTCAGCCAGAGAATCTCCCGCTGTCCCGCCCCTCTCCTCCCTGTGTGGCAAGCAGCAGGCACACCTTGCAAATAAAGGGCACCTTTACTCCCCGCAAATAGGCAATAGAAAACCGATAAGTGCCCATGCAATCCCCAAAATGCGCTGGCATGATGTCGGGGCAGTATGGATAACCACGCAAGCCTCTAACCCAGTATTCCCGTTCGCAGCTCGCAGTGCATGACGCAAACCTGAGTAGATGCGTGCTCTGACTTAAGGAGACTCTTAAAGCAGCAGTATGCCCCTCAAAATGCCTGCTCTAGTCATGACAATGACAACTCTAGAAACAGACCTTTTGTAGACAGGTCTGCAGTTTGTCTGGTCTGCTGAGGAAAAGCCAGTCAACCTCTCCCCCTGAAAAGAGAAATTGGAACTAGAATTCGCCATTTCAGTGTTTTAAAACTGTATGTCAAGAGCAAGGAATCTGAGACACAGAGGGACCCTGCACTTCACAACACAGTGGCTTCAATTACAAGGTCACCACATATTACATTGCAACCTGCTTTTTAGTCAAAATGAACATCATGAAGAATTTTAGAAGGTTTGAAACCAGTGAATAACAATATGAACTCACCATTGAGGATTTAACAGAGGTCATAGGTCAGGTGACTAGAGTTATTTCCCCATTGGTCTTTATACAGCTGGATTTTTTTTTTTATAATTAAAAGAGTAATTCTTCATTCTTAAGTAACCAGATAACCAGATCCCTCCTGGTTACTGAAGAATGTAGGTTTTTGTCCACTGGTTTCAGTTTTAAGACCAATGAGCTACGTCCATATTGCCGTCCATGACATAAATTTTCAGAACATGATTTCAAGGAATAGCCTAGTAAGAACATTAAGAGTAAGAATATTATCATTAAAAGATTTTGGAGGAAATAAAGAAGACTTAAAGAAATAAAGAAAACAATATGAGCTACATTGCAAAAGTGGAAAAAAAGTGGGAAAATCAGAGGAAAAACCAAATAACATGTTAACTTTAGATTTACTCAGAACAGACTTCACTCAGCCGCAGCTGTATTTTTTATATCACCTTCATATTTTTAGAAAAAATTGTTCTTTTGTCTACACTACACTACTTTTTACTCCAATTTACATTTTCTCTGTCATATTTGTATATTTGTCTCAGAAATCAGAAACCTTTAATTGCTTCTAGGTTCTTGTGATACTGTGCTATAAGCCAAGCGTAAAGCACCACAAACACCTCCCTGACTTTGAATACCATGCTAACCATTTCCAATTCTGAAAGCAATACCAACTAGATTTTTAAGTCTTGCTATAAAATGAGTAACAATTGGGTGGACATTGGGATTGGCTTTCCCAGCTAGTAGTTTGTAATGCAGCCTTCAGTAATAGTAATAAATCACACAGCAGTAGGGCATCGAAGACACTGAAGTGGCACATAACCAGGTAGCTACCACAACTAATACAAGCTAGTTAACGTTAGTTTTTAAAAAAGAACTTACTTCCAGATGTTTCTTTAGGTTGGAGGTGGAGTCTTTTGATGCTGAGAGCAGCTTGGTTGTTGAGATGGCATTGTACAGTCAAATTTCACCCATCCCTTTCTTATTTAAATGTGAAGTGGTGTCGGAATTTCCAAGTAAGAAATGCATTCCTGCCCGTGCACTGCTGGCTCTGTTGTGCTGGCTCCAGGTCCACTGTGTAACTGACACCACCAACATTAGAGCCTCTAAGGCTGCGTTCACACTGCAGGTCTTGATGCTCAATTCCGATTTTTTTGTCTGCTCGTTCACACTACAAATAAAATGCGACAGCAAACGCGCTCTAGTGTGAACGCTCAAAGCGGCCCGCATGCGCAAAAGAAGACGTCACACACAACGCGCTCTGTTTAGACCCAGAGCAACAGTATTGTTTGACTGATGGCCCTTAATGTAAAGACTTCGGACTTTACGTTTCCCAATTTTTGCTTTAAGTTATTTTGTTATTTACATAATAATGTAAATAACCTAATAATGATCCTTATTGCTGTTTTAGAGGAGCGGTGCTTCAAAGGATAGCTGCAGATTTCTGTCAGAATCTGCAGATTATACAGTAAATAAAGTTCACGTTTCTCCAACGTTGTCTTCCCAACAGTTTCACTGGATGGACAGGAAGCGTTCACGATGTCTTCTCCGGAGCTGATAATTGGCGTCTGTCTTGTGTCAGTGACGTAAAAGACGGATTTAATGCGACTTGACCATCAAACAGCAGTCGCTTTCTGAAACATCGGATATGTATCGGATTCAGCACCACATACGAAAGTGACCCAGATCGGATTTGAAAATATCGGATTTGTGCCGTTCACACTGTCATACATGATCGGATATGGGTCGCATAGGGTCAGAAAATATGGATTTAATGTTTGGGTTTCCAAGGTGGGAATTACCAAAAATAGAGAGGGGATAGAGGATCCTAACATATGAAACAGGAAAAGACCGCGTGTAATCCATTTATTTCAACAAAGTAACTGTATTCTAATATCACCTATTTAAGCGTAACTGTAACAGAATACAGTTACTCATATTTTGTATTTTATACGGTAATGCCAGTACATGTATTCCGCTACTCCCCAACACTGTATTAGCAAAACTACTGTTTTTGATCAATGCACAGTACTTCTTTTAAGTTTAACAGATGATTCACATTCTGTCATTTCAAGTTGTTCTTCAGCTGTTAAAAATATTTAAATTTTAGATACTACAACCTATGATTAAATTCACTCAGTCAGAGCTGCATATACAGAAACTTTAGAGACACTTAAAGTATAAAAGAAAAGCGTTATTAAGTGACCAACGCGTTTCCACTGGAGTCTTCTCATCAGGTCCTTTTCTTCTCCATGCACCTTAAAAGTAGGTGAAGTTGTGCCAGAAAATATTGTTGCTATACAGAAACTTTAGACATCCTTATTACTTCGAACTAACCAAGTATGATTCAAGCTTAAGGGGAAATAATATAAGACGAATATTATAAGATGGTGATTATCAGTTTAATCAGGTCAGACTAGTTGATACAGAAGAACCAAGACATTGGCATAAAAACAAGACAGGAAGAGAAACAGAGTGAATCCACTGTTGAAAATTATAATAAATCAAATAAAAAAAGAAACATAAAAGATTCCCCAAATATATCCCCCAAATTTAAAATCCATAGAATAACAATGAAAATCTGAACCAAAAAACATAATTGTAAAACAGAAACTTAATATTTGAAGTTAGAAAAAAACAATACAACAATATTACAAGAAATCAAAGCCACTGTTGGAATTATAAAGAATTCAAAAAAGGAATCTAAAAGTTAAACAAAACATAAACTCCTATGATATATCTGAAAACTATACTCGAAAACTCTCGGACCACGATAAGCAAAAACTGATTTCACAGACAAACTGAAGTAGCCTGCAGAAGCTGTTCTATGTAAGAAACTAATACAAAAAATATATTTTTCATGGCAGCAAAATAAAATCAATAACTATGATAACGGAGATATGGTGATAGCAAAAATAGTGACAAGCAAGCTGCGGTGATTTCTTAACAAACTGAGTTTCCCACAAGAAAGTATGTTGCTAAGAAAAAACGAAGCAGCAAGGAAATAAATGCTGATAACTTTGAAATGAGTGTGTCGCTGCATCGGCCCTGCGCTGCCCTGCAGAGGGTGTTAGGTGTGATTATCTGCTTTGAGAACAGAGTACACACACTCTGTGTTTGCTCTTCTCATCTTTATTTTTCTGGAGAAACCCAGTTCTGCACAGCTGGCTGCAGTGTCTTTGTCATTCTGCAAAATATTCATATGTTAGTGTTGCTGAAATTTTGGAGGTCAGAGTTGATGTTCTTTTCATTTTTATTATTTATTATTTATCGCTGCATGATATGAAATTATTAAAATAAAAGGTTAATTGCTTTATTGTGCCACATATTTACCAGAAACGTATGTATGGAATTTGATTGATCCACTGTTGACTTGCCAATATGATGGGAGCCAGTCATTTTTCCTTTCAAAAAAAGAAATACATTCTCAGTATGTGTACATATAATAACTGCAATTCATGTACTGAAATTGTGACAGTATGACTGAAAATATAAAGAAAACTTAAAGAGCTAACCAAAAAAGAGGTTAACTTATGTAAAGCATGTTCAAATGAAGGTGTTTGGTCCAGATGTCAGCTGTAGAGTATGGAAATACGTAGGAGAAAGGGGAGTGAACTGTAGATTGTTTTAACTTAATCTAGTTTAACTAACTTCAAAAGATGAAGTGACAGGCCTAAAACATGTGTACAGCAGATTGACAGCATCTGCAAGTTACATCCTTAATAAATAAAAGGCCTGACACACTTAAGGCAGTGTTATTGAGGCTCTCGTCAAAATTAAAAGGAATTAAGAATAAACCATAAAATATCATCTGGAAAAAATCTGATTTGCAATGAATATATAATTTTTCTCCAGCATGACAATGATGCCAAACACTCTAATGCACATGGAAATTAAGTTGCAAAGTATGTGTTGTGCTTGTATTTGTATATGCACATGTCTGAGTATCTATGTTTGCTGCACACAGTCAGTGAAGTAACTGCTCTGTCACACATACTACATATGGTAATCATTCAAAAAAAATTCAAAAAAGCACTAATTTATCAGTATTTGTTAACATTTCCAACCTGTGCAGCGTTGACAAACATTCCTTTGATTGCTGTAGAAAACAAGAATGGGGATCAAAATCATGCAGCTGGTCAAGAATACTCCAAGCACAAGAACAAACAGCCCAAATCCTGATACTGACTCTGGAAAAACAATAAAATAAAGCATTATGTACATTTAGGATCAATAGGATTAATTAAAACACATAAATTATAAGTAGTCAATAGCTACAAAAGTCAAAGTTCATTGATTTTAGCCAATGAAAAGTTGTCAGATTTTAATTATTGCAATTATAAATGAATCATTATATAAGGAAAACAAGTCTATTTATTTTGCATAGTGTCATTTATGTTCAGTGGTTTGCATAAAACATGATTAAGACAGAAAATATCTCAATAAAACATTGTTGTTTTGACTTCAGCTCTTCCCATTAGCCAGGCTAAATGGTTCAATGCGAGATGGATTTAAATACAAATGTTAATACATACTTATCTCTACTTTAGTTCCTTCACCAAACAGGATCTTTCCACATGTGACCACAGCACAGTAATAAGTCCCAGCATCAGAGTAGTCCTGTATCGTTTTTGATAGACTGTAGACACAGTTTCTCTTCAGAGCCTCATCCCTGCTGTCCATGTGAGTGTAAATGATGCTTGGAGTAAAACTTTCAGAACCAGCTCTCAACCAGTGCACTCTGTGTTCATCTGGACATTGGAGTGCTTTTTCTTTGCTCGTGGAGAGAAGTGAACACTGGAGAGCCAACGAGTCTCCGATCAGAACAGACTCTTTCTTTGGAACTTGTTTCATGTAGATTGATTCCTGCTGGTTGTAATCTGTAAATTAAGTCAGATTTGTAACCTAAACAATTAATAATAGATTTTTTTCTTTGTGCGAGTGAACTGAACATAACAGTTTTAGTGCCAATGGTAGCGTCTTACCTTTCACAGCCAAGAATGTGCCACTGCTGAACATCTGTGAATATGCTTTTCGCGTTTGACAGAAATATGTTGCTTCATCCTCTTTGCTGACATTTCTGATAGTAAATATTTCTTTGTTCAATGTGAAACGTGAATCTTTAAATGCATCAGATAAAGTTATTTTGTCAAGAATAACAGAAGCAACACTTTGGGGCAAATGTCCCAGAGACTGTTTATACCAATGAAAGGATTTTAACTCCTTCTCAGAGACCTCACAGCCAAAAGTAACATTGTCACCAAGGTCAACAACAGTCAAAGAGATCAACTGAGGAACCTCTGAAGTTTGAGTCACAGCTGAAGAAGAAAAAAAATGCAGTTAACAAAATTACAAAATCGATGTAAATACTGTTAGATAAATAACCAGCAACAGTAAATATGTACCACGGTGTAGTACAAACATGCTCTTCATGTTTTTCTCACGAGCAATGAATTGCACTTACATGGTGTACAAAGAAGAATCAAAGCAGCCAGTGTTATGATCATTGTGGTGCAGCACTCTTGTTGCTCTACTGATCTTCTCTTGCTCAAATAGGAGGCATACAGCCATCACAAGGTGACGAAGGTTTGACAAGCAGAAATCAATGATTGGCTGAAATGCAGGAAATGGCCTTTCTCCCATTTAGGGAACATTGTGTATATTATCACTGGATCTAAGAGGTTTTTCTTTTGGAGTAACTACTTTGATAACCACTTAAAATGTGTCAGAAAGTCTTATGTGCCATTCTCAGCACAAGCTCTGGGAATCTTTTTATAGCAGTATTTTACTTGTAAGAGTAGTAGCTTCATGATGTTTCTTTGTAAATCAGATACACATCAGATTTATGATGCAAACTTTTTATTTGATCATAGCTTAATATCTTTCTTGTTAACCAGCATTTAGAAAATGAAGTGTATCAATATAGGTAGAGCTGACCTTTCCTGAGTATTTAGGGGAAATTGAGAGCTACATCGTACATTCTGTAGGTTTTAGGGAAAAACCACAAAGACAGCATGTACAGTATTTGAGAGAGAGAGGACACTAACTGTGTATTTGTCACCAAGGTGCAAGATACAAGATTGTTTACCATTGAAACTTAGAATTTAGTTTTTTCTTAAAAATAACATCAAAGCATGGAATACAGGTGTCTTTTCATTGGCTTTTTATTATAATAATATAATATAATGGCTACATAAAAAAGAGAGAACAGCAAGTCACATTCAACTGCAACACTCATAGATGAAGGCTGTGGTGGGCCTTTGACCAACCCTACTGAAGCTGTTTCCTCAGAACAGGCCTCACTGTGAAGTTTTATGTACCGTTAATTTGAATGGGCTAAAAATCTATTATTGTACTAAGTTAACACATTCTAACAATCTTAGGGGAGGTGGTCAAAACAAATATACTCTTGTAATCTTGTGAAAAAAAGAGAGAGACCAGAGTAGTACAAGTGAATCATGAGCACCTCCCCTGGTTTCCTTGCAATTACCGATGAAAACAAACAAAAACAAACCACAGTGTTACTGAAATCAGTCACAGCATGACTGAACAGGTCTGAGTGTTGGTGTTTGTTTCTCACATAGGCTTTAACAACTCCAGATGTTTGTTCTGATATAAAAACTAGTCACATTAAAACTATAGTATTATCATTTCCCTTTAAAAACAACAGCAAACAAAACAAACAAACAAATGACACAGTGTTTCAAGATCAGATACCTGAGATTGAAAGAGACAAGAAGAAACCCTGTTTGTATTCACACCCCTGTTTGAAAGCCCAACCACAGCAATGCTTAAGTTTCCATCATGCATCAACCATGGCTATTTTTGTCTTTGTGTGTTTCAGGTGCAAGTAATGTTGTGCACAAAAAGGATGTACGAAGTACTAAAAGAAGATGAACGAACATGTGAAAAGAATAATCAAGTTATCGGTGTCCTGTTTGAAAAGATATTTTACAATCGTTAGCTTTCTTGCTTGTAGCTGTTTGTGTAAGATCTGACCACAGGCCAGACACAGAACTGTACTAGAAAATTACAGCGAACTATTTGATTAAACTATAAGACCTATTTATTTGCCACAGGTCATGCAGCTTGTTGTAGATGTTTCTTTGTTTTTTCACCTTTTCTAGACAAACATTAAGTTATTTTAATTCAAGTCTCAGCTGTTTTGTTTACTGTGTTTCGTCAACTATGTTCACATAAGATTACTCTATCATATTTATATCTGTTACAGTTGAGTCAGAAGCCTCTCAGCTTATTCAGGTCATTGTATTTGTTTGTGACACCATGAAAACAGTACTCTGAGGTAAGATTGAATGGAAGATGAGAATGGAAGGTGTTATTTCAACCACCTCCCCAACTCTGCATGCTGGTTTTTTGTGTCTCTTTCTGCTTAAGTTACTTTTATGCTTAACTGTCACTGGTGTGGGGTACTTTTCACAGTGACAGTTAAGCTCAATTCAGTCTTCTAACTGGGCATCTTTATACCTTTTCAAAATGCAGCAAACAAATTAACAATTTCACATTGGTTGAATATGCACACATTTTTTTTCGTGTGTCGTTGTGTTGTAAGAACTAGACTATAAGGAGAATAAATATCTGGCCTTTTGTACCAGTAGCCTCAACAGTGTTGTCCTTTAAAATTTGGGGAGAAAAAATTTGTAATTTGCCTGCCACTTCGGTAAAGAGTTAAAGACAGAAACCTAATTACAGGTGGTGATTTTGCGAAAGAATTGAATATATGATAATTGTATATTTGTCCACCATAACTTCAGATTAACACATCAGATTTTATGACACTGAAATAGCTGATCTTTCTATTTAAAAACATGTTTACAAATATACATGCAGATGAGTAAAAGGTTCTTGCTTGTCTTACAGCCGTTCCTAAAGGCCTTCTGCATTTCTCTCATGGGAACAATGCGCAAACCCCCATGCAGAAGCAACACTGACAGACAAAGGTTGTGGTGGGCCATTTCTCCACCCTTTGACCAACCACTGAAGCAGTTTACTCACAACAGAACTCACTGTTAACTTGAACCGCATAGGAGGTGAGGGAAAAGTCATAAGACTTTTATCTAGATAAACTCCATTGATTTAGTTTTACCATTTTGTCATTTAAAGGACAAATATTTTCTAATTTTTGTGCTTTTAAATATCAAATGTATATTATAATCTAATTAATTCATCATTAATTTGGACAAGCTGCCTGTCCATCACTGTTCTAAGACAGGCATGTTAAACACACTTCACCAAGGCTTCAATCCTGTAATCAGGAACAATGTATTTGAACCTCCCATCTTCTACCAGCCACTATAAAAACAGAAAACAGAAATTTGCGGTGTTGGGAAGGTTACTTTTAAAATGTATTCCACTGCAGATTACAGAATACAGTACATGCCCAAAATGTAGTTTGTAAAGTACTCTGTTACGTTACTCAATGTGAGTAACATATTCTGAGTACTTTGGATTACTTAATATCAGTGTTGGGACTAACGTGTTATTAAGTAACGCGTTAAAGTAACTGCGTTATTATTGTGGTAACTAGTTATTATGCGAAAATCAGGAAGGCGTTACTCGTTACTGGGATTTAGATCGGCTCGTTATTCGTTTCTTCGTGTGGTGGCTATCGTGGAGCTTCCACAGATTCAATGACATTAGCAAGTGGTGGAGGCAGCAGGTGGATGA